AGATATACATATCTGCATAATAGAAGACCGAACATCGAGACCGCAATGCTTGGTACACAATACAAAATAACAGTAACATTCGTTGGATCATTTTTGAGCATGATTGTGTCATTTTGAGTAGAATATTGTGCCACAAAACACAAAAAATGTCACGAAACAGCAAATTACTAAACCTAACAACAAAGGCAACAATAAAACAGTGTAAATACAGCTTGGAAACTGTAAAAAATGCAACCTTATTAATTATTTAGTGCATGATGGGAACACCAAAAAGTTGATTGAGTACACTCTAAACAATGCTGGGTTGTTTGGACACAAATTTGGGTCAAATATGGACAAACCCAAATGTTGGGTTAAAAATGTAATTTCAAATTTTAACCCAACTTCAACTTTCACTTTCGATTTTAACTGGATTGTTAACCCAACATTTGGGTTTGTCCATATTTGACCCAAATTTGGGTTCAAACAACCCAGCATTTTTTGGAGTGTAGTAATATAGAATTTACTTTGTTTTTAAATTCTTCAGGTAGAAATTAGTTTTGTTTTTCTATAAAGTTTGGTTTGGCGAGCTGTTTCAAACTCTCGAGTCGAACACCAAACGAATGTTTTTGCCTGATTTTGTTCAAAATGACATCATACTGGTTTGCCTTTTGATTTAGCTTGATGTCCCCATAGTGGAAAAGAAAAAATACTCAAAGGTATTTAAAATACAATTATTTTTTTGATAAGTATACTACAAATACATTTACATATTTATGTGCTTAATAAAAATATCCTGCAATTGTACTTTCGGTAAATTTTGCTAAATAGAAAGCAAATTTTATACTAAATGCACTAGTTGAATGAAACCTTTATTGCCCCCAGGCCAGGGGGAATTTGTTTTACACTTCAGCACAAAAGATATACTTATGTATTTATGATTGTGCTAACTATTGCAAGTATACTTCAGGTACACTTTAAATAAGACTTATATTATAGAAAGATCATACAATAGTGATATTAAAACAAATTTTAGGCATGATATGTAGAAATGTGCAATAAAGAAATGCTCCAAATAAAGGTTGATTAAAAATTAAGTTTTAAGTGAAATGTCAATAAATATGTTAATGGATCTGAAGTATACTTAAAATGAAATTTTGTATGTATTTTAAATAGATTTTGGTTTTTTTTTTTTTTTTTTTTTTTTTTTGGCTAGTGATATATCGGGCCTTAAAGGAGTAGTTTCACTTTAAAAAAAAAAAAAAAACTTTTGCCAATAATTTACTCACCCCCATGTTATCCAAGATGTCCATGTCATTCTTTCTTCAGTCGAAAAGAAATTAAGGTTTTTGACGAAAACATTCCAGGATTTTCTCCATATAATGGACTTCAATGGGAACCAAACGGTTCAAGGTCCAAAAGACAGTTTCAGTGCAAACTGTTCAAAGGGCTTTAAACGACTCCAGACGATGAATAAGGGTCCAGCCCGTTCTCATCCTTTAACGTCATATAGAACGCTATATGACAAAACGGCGCTATACTACGCACATGGCACCCTTTATCGTTAATATAACACGCGAACCCAAGACGTTATAAATCCTTTAGCGTGAATATGACACGCACACCCTACCCCACACCTAAACTTAGCCCTCACAGAGCGTGTTATATTAACGATAACGGGTGCTATGTGCGTAGTATAGCGCCGTTTTGTCATATAGCGTTCTATATGACGTTAAAGGATGAGAATGCGTTGAAGGGTCTTATCAAGTGAAACCATCGCTCATTAAAAAAAAAAAAAAAAAAAAAAAAAAAGTTTAAGTTTTATAAGCACAAATGGTCGCCTTGCTCTGTTCTGTGATGAGCATTCGTGACTCTCCAAAATGAACAAATCTTTTTTCGTGTTATTTGGTTCATTCAACAAACAAAATGAGCGAGTTGACTCTGGAAAAGATTTTGATGAACGAGTTCGAACAGGAGAGTCACACAGAACAAAGCAAGGCGAGCATTTGAGCTTATAAAACTTAAACTTTGTAATTTTTTTTTAAAAATGATCGATCATTTCGCTTGATAAGACCTTATTCATCGTCTGGAATCGTTTAAAGCTCTTTGAAACTCATTTGGACCTTGAACCGTTTGGTTCCCATTGAAATCCATTATATGGAGAAAAATCCTGGAATGTGAACTACTCCTTTAATGGATAAAACTAGAGAGCGTTATCTTTGCTGTGCTGTCCAGCCTCCTTCATTAGATGAAGGTGTTTTCATGTGTGTTTTATGCAGGGCTTCCCTGCCTCCCACGGCACTTCACCTGACAAATGAGAGGGAGACACATAGTGACATGCACGTCTCCGAAAATCGATTCTTCTTGTCCGTCTGTTTACCCCATCCCAAGAGACTCTGCTGCACTGCATTACACTAACCCCTAATGCAGGGCGTCCGTTTTACAGCCAGTTAGGTGTGTGTGTGTGTGTGTGTGTGTGTGTGTGTGTGTGTGTGTGTGTGGAAATGCACTCACAGAAACATCAGCACTGCTGAAAGCAGCTCACGATCTGCTCGGGTTTGAAATGGCACAAGAGAGACCGAGAGGAGATCAAAATTTCATGTTCTTCATAAATGTATGATTAAACAGTCTTAATCAAAGATCATTTCGATAACGCAATCTTTAGTTTAGATCTTATTTTTTAATCACGGCTTCGGTCACCTTAATCCCCAAACAGTTTTTTGACGCGTACGCTGGCACCCGAGAGTAAACGGCTTTTAATGATTTAATAAAGAGGATAATTACTCTCCAGGCTACACAGGGGCATGAGTCATGTATTAGCCTGGGATTCGAAAGGTTAATGTAATATTCTCTGCTTTCCATTATGTTTCATAAATGTTTTTTTCATCCGACCCACTGAATCCCTATTGGGCCACTCACTTTTTTGGGGAGAGCGATTGAATGCTGTCTGATATCTTGCTGTTGGCAAGCTTTTATTATTATACAATTATTTTTATTATTAGCGTTGAGAATATATTGGCCGACGCTGGTCATGTGTGTGATGCGTGTGACGGACAACCTTCACTATGTGAAATCTCAAGGCACACAGAGAAGGAAAGTTGAATAAAGTCGTTATTTTTGTTTGATTTTTGCGCACAAAAATATTCTCGTCGCTTGATAAACTTAAGATTGAGCCACTGTACTCACTCGGACGCTGTCTTTAAAGAGTACATATCATGCTTTTAAATTATTCATTTTTACATATAAATCATACAGTTGTGGTCTATATAAAGCATAACTGCAATGCTTGGGTCTGAATTCCTCAGTATTATAGCTCCACAAGCCCCTTTTCTTCCCCTTTTCTGATGTGCGTCTGTGAGCGACCCGTTTCAAAGCGGCCCCTTTAAATAAAAAGGAGATGCGTCATACCCCACCCGCTCTCCAGGTCGATGAGTTCAACTCCCCACGTTCGGCCATTATTGTAGTTTGATAGGAGATATACGATTATATACGATACCTTCAAAGAACATTTTTATTCACACGTTAATAAAATGTCAACAACAGAAGACTTGTCCATCAAGCCTTACATATTCGAGCCAGAGCGAGCGAGTTGATAAAGACGACGACGAACCTGCAGAACAACCTCTTCATATGGATGTATTGGTATGTGAGTTAACTGTTTTGTGTTATTAGTGAAAGTCGACTATTTCTCTTGTTAAAACAAGCACACTGACAAGATAAATGACTACGGTTTAATCTTACCACAAACAATCTGTATTAATAATATGATACGTTTAGAAAAGCATCAGAAAACAACGCAGCTAACGTTAAATGACCATTGATGAAACTCAAGAACAATAATACTGCAGACGTGTAACGTTACTTCAAAACAAAAACAAAGAAAGACAAAGGTACTGCTAAACCATGATCACCATGTGTTTTAAGAAAGTAAAGTACTTTATTTTTATTAACGATATTTACAGCTTATCGAAATGCTCTGTTTGTCGTCTCCAAAGATAGAAGGAATTGACCCCTCATTCAGACGAAGTCAATCGGCAAACCCTTCTTTATACTGGCGGAGGTTGTTGAAGTGGGAATACTTGAAGTGCTTCAGGTCACTAACATGCATCCAACAACCGAACATTTTGACTTGCCCTCTCGTAACTTCTGCACATTGAGCTCGGACTACAAAATCGGAGCGATAAATAATAATGGCGGATTGCTCGAAGTGTTGGGCTGCTAGTCGATGTCCTTATTTGTCAGTTCCGCTGCAAATACGGTGACGTTGTAGTTCAAAAAACGTCATAGAAAACAGAAAAATCTGAACAGGTTGAAAAATATGACCAATATAAAGATATAAACGAAGCACCTGAAGAGAATAATTTCATCTTTTCTGTACTTATAAACACTCCAGATATACAACAAAATGCATTTAAGGGCTAAAAAAGTGGATTTTGCATGATATGTCCCCTTTAATAACTTTTCTGGGCCGGCCAGTTTCAATCCCTTAAGAAGCCTATGGAGGAGTGATCCAGCTCTCAGATTTAATCAAAAATATCTTCATTTGTTTTCCGAAGATGAACGAAAGTCTTACAGGGTTGAACAAATACTGACAGAGTTTTTATTTTGGGGTGAACTATCCCTTTAAAGTCCAACATGTTAGCCTCGGCTAATTACCGTAGCTCAAAGTTAACTCTTTCTATTCGCCATATCTTCTTTTAGGAAGCATGTCACCCTTAAATGTTCCCGTGGGACTCGTTTAGCTAATGGTTTAGCTAGCCGCACATGGTGTGTTTGTGTGAAGGGATGCAGATGGACATGTGGAGACTGCATTACCCTGCTGTTGAGCACTTGTAATGTGGGCTCAAATGGCTCTTCCCGTTTATCCCAATTAGAGCGTGCAGCTGGGGTTGACTACACACATCAGCCTCATTCACACACCACACACAGACACATGTACCTGTCTCTACAGAAGATACTAAATCACTGCAGAGAGCGTTTTTTGCTTACTCTTGTTTTCTCATTTCTGCCTCTTTTCCCAGGACCCAGATCAATTTCACAGTGGCCATTGATTTCACCGCCTCGAACGGTAAGCAATTAAGTGGAGAGAACGGTGTGTGACCTCATAAAAGGTTGGCGATCCAAACCCAATCGTTGGCCTGCTCGCGTCGCTCGATACGCTCCCATTAGTGGTCAGTTTATGCCCCTGTGCTGCGAGTCGTGGAAGGGTTCGAGTCGTGCTGAGAGGTGAACGCTTCAATAAAATGGCCCAGCTACACTAGTGTGTTTCTAGAATGTGTTTCCCTGTTGTTTTTGAGGCCGCACTTGCTGGGAGTGTATATGCAAATAATTACTTTTCATTCACAAGTAAGTGCTTCCAAGCATCTTTGAATTATTAAGCAATTAACTCGATTTGTTTAGAACAGTGTAGCGAGACGATAGAAATCTCTTTCGGGAGATGTATAGACCCCTTTTGCGCCGGAGCTGGAGGCAAAACAAAGTGAAAACTGGAGGCGGCCAATGCAAACCAGCACAGATTCGGCTACATAATAACAGAGATGTATAAAGTACTAGAAACCCGGACTTGAGTAAAAGTACAAGTGACTTGAGTAGAAGTTGAAGTGCTCTTTAAGCACCACACTTAAGTAGAAGTACTAAAGTATTCAACATTTTTTGTACTTAACTATTGCAAGTAGTTTATTTTAAAATTCACTACTTAAGTACTAAAAGTAAAAGTACAAGTATTGTGTCATGTAATTATTAAAGAAAGCAGTCAAAAGTTTGAACTAGCAATCAAATAAGACGCTTTGGCGGGATACAAATTTGCTTTGGCGGCCGCCAAATAAATGTCATTGCAGGACAACCCCTGCATTAGTTGTTAATGTGCGTGTCAATCAATACCATTACCCTATAAACCTGGCGTGTGATTTAGGCAGCATGAAAACCAACTTGCAACAAATGATTCGTAAAATTTTTATAATTGTAACGACTAACTAGCAGAACATTAAAAAAATATCTAAGTAAAAGTATAAAATTCATCGAAAATATCTACTGAAGTAAAAGTAGAAGTATGAGAAAAAAACAAAACTCTAGTAGAGTACAGATACAGCATTTTAGTACTGATTACAGTACTTAAAGGAGTAGTTCACTTTTGAAAAAACTTTTGCTGTTAATTTACTCACCCCCATGTCATCCAAGATGTCCACGTCTTTCTTTCCTCAGTCGAAAAGAAATTTAGGTTTTTGATGAAAACATTCCAGGATTTTTCTCCATATAATGGACTTACATGGGAACCGGATGGTTCAAGGTCCAAAAGACAGTTAATAACTGTTTCAGATGCAGCTTCAAATGTATTTAAACGACACCAGACGATGAATAAGGGTCTTATCATGCGAAACGATCGGTTATTTCAAAACTTATTCCAAAAATGTAACTTTTCTAAGGACAAATGCTAGCCTTGCTCTATTCTGTGAGGCGCGTTTGCAACGTCACGTAATACGTAATTACGTTCAAAAGGTCACGGGCGACGTAGCCGAAAGTACAGAGTCAGTGTTTACAAGTTGAACGCATAGGTTGAACGTGCAAACTAGCTCAAACACCGTTTACAAAAAAAGGAATTAAAAGGAAAAATAACGATGTCGGACGATTTTGATTCTGAACTTCCGGCTACGTCGCCCGTGACCTTTTGAACGTAATTACGTAATACGTGACGTTGCAAACGCGCCTCACAGAATAGAGCAAGGCTAGCATTTGTCCTTAGAAAAGTTACATTTTTGGAATAAGTTTTGAAATAACCGATCGTTTCGCATGATAAGACCCTTATTCATCGTCTGGTGTCGTTTAAAGACATTTGAAGCTGCATCTGAAACTGTTATTAACACTATCTTTTGGACCTTGAACCATCCGGTTCCCATTGAAGCCCATTATATGGAGAAAAATCCTGGAATGTTTTCATCAAAAACCTAAATTTCTTTTCGACTGAGGAAAGAAAGACATGGACATCTTGGATGACATGGCAGTGAGTAAATTATCAGCAAAAGTTTTTTCAAAAGTGAACTACTCCTTTAAGTAGTTCTACTTCGTTACTATACATCTAGGAGCTTAAATTACTTTTATTATTATTAAATGTCATCTTGTTGTGTTGTTTGGTGCAAGAATCGCTGAAAAATGAGTATGCTGTATCTGGATTTTTTATTTCTAGAAAATATTCACATGATTAAAATCGCACCGTGATGTCACTCTTTACATTATCGTCGTCTCTGCCCTGGCTCGGCAGAACTGCGGATCGTACACACAAGTCTTGTACAGGACCATATAGTTATAGGCATCTAAAGATTTATATGCCCTCAGTTTCTCTTTACGATCGGTTTCTCTATAAGGTAGGTGTAGAAGTCAGGCCACTCAACCGAGGTAACGTAACGTTAATCCTGTCAGATCGTCCACGCATTGAGTGAGCGTGTAGGCGGCTACAGGTCGGCCAATCTGGTTCTGTCCATTAAAAATTACTTTTGGAAATAACAATCGCGGTCCTGGACAGTGAGTGACCTTATATATTAAGATAAAATCGGATTTTCTCCAGTCATTGTTAAAGAAACAAGCTAATAAAACTTGCTAACTAGCGGCCAGAGGGATCGTTCTGCCTCCACCTAAGCTCCGCCCACATAAAAACGTCACCGTGTTTACCAACTGAAAAGGGGTCTATTGAAGCTTGCATGAAGCGCAAGAGAGCTGAATTGAAAAGTTGGTTTAGTTACAGTACAGCCGTCGCTCCACAGATGTTTGAGTCCTGAACAACATCAATAGCTTGACAACAGAATTGGAGCACTCGTTTGTGTTTCTTAAATATACTTCATGACTTGCTACGGTGGACACAGTTGCTCTGTTACAACACCTAAAGAGCTGCGTTGATGCCTACATAGGTCTTGCCTTCCAACACCATGAGCCAGCCAGATTTAGCCAGCGCAACCCTCTTTAGCATTTACTGAAGACATGCAGTGAAAAACAGCGTTATTGTTGCGGCTCATGTTATTGCATATGCATTTGTAGGAGTTTCCCTTTCAGACGCAATATTTATGGGAGGACAATATTTAAATGAATCATGCAGTGTGGTTTACTCGTCAATATACTGGTATTTGTGCCATTATTTAACGCGTCCAAAAAGGATGTTTGAACCAGACACTAATGTGCGCTGCTCTTGGTAGATTGTGTTGGTCATTATGGAAATGATTAGTGTGTGTTTTTTTCATTTGTGTGTCAGAACTTTAGTGCTTTTGTGCTTTTGCGCTCTCACACTAATTTGCCTTGTTTAGTAAGTCTTCACCATTATCATCCATAATACTGTCTTCCCTGAATGTGGTGTGAGTCGCGACACCATTAAGTGTGGGGAAACAAGAAATCGATTCGTACTGAAAGGGCAGATGCCATAGATTGTAAAGGGGGCGCAGAAAACATAGCTACGCCAATGAACAGGACAAGACAGCATCTTTACCATCACGATCAGTGTTGTGCAAGTTACTTCCAAACTGTAATACATTAGGCATTACTTGTTACTGTTATTTAAAAGTAATTCATTACCTTACAATATTACTGTCTCAGAATTGTAATGCGTTACATTACTCATGTATTACTTTTGAGTTACTTTCACCAAAATAACCAAGTAGAACTTAACTTTTGGGCTGTAACGATATGCAATATGAAACCGAAATCGCGATTCGCCACACGACTCAGATCCACGAAACTACAGATTCGCGACACACCTCTTCCAACTCCAGCGTTATTCTCCTTACCGTCCAGATCCAATGCTGCCTTATCTTTAAATTAGGCTATTAGTATTATTTGAAGTTAACATTATAAAATACGTAGACCTACACCACAAAACTAGTTGAGGATAAATTATTTAAAATTGGGGAAGTCCAGCATTATGGACATGACATTTGCAGTCAAAACTTGAAATAAAAATTCTCAGAAAATACATGTATTGAAACGTATATAGGCTACTTCCTTAAAGGACTCCAGACATTAGGCAAATATCAGTCTATGTTTTATTTTTAATATTAGGGAAAAGACACACATTCATGCGTGACAAAAAAATAGGAGGCAAAATCGATTTTTTGTAATTCTGTGAATTACACTGCGCAAATCGGATGAGGAAGGGTTGGCTCTCCAGTCTCCATAGAACTTAAAATATTCATTTTATTTTAGTTTTCGTGTTCGCATTTATGAGGAAAAAACAATGTTACAGACGCGACCGCTCTGAACTGGCACTAAAAGACTGCTTTAAACCTTTCACATAATCTGTTGCCTTTAAGAAGTAAAAGCAGACAATACACTGTAATACAACTGTAATACAAGCCTCACTGAACATGTAACGAGTAAAATATTACTGAAAATTGATTAGTAATGCCTTACACTACTGCGTTACAGCAAAAAGTAATATGTTACTGTAATGTATTACTTTTGTAATGCGTTACTCCCAACACTGATCACGATATATTGCCCAGCATATCGGTATCGGCCGATATATGCTCATTTTTAATGTTATCGTTATCGGCCTGGTAAGAAAATGTGGCCGATATATTAAAGCCGATAAATAATGTATTATTCCCTTCAGCTGAGACATTTGTGTAGCACTGTTTATGTTTTTGAATTTCTTGAAATATGATTGAAATCTCTTTAAAAAATAAATACGGTTCGGTACAACATGTGCAGCGCAAATCCGTCATATCGGCTATACAACACTATAATGAGAACATCATTATAATTGTGCGCTTGGGATATGGATTTAATTGTGAGACTTTTGTATTTGTAATCAGGCTCTCAAAATTAGATAAAAATTTGGATTTAAGTTTATCGGCCGATATATCGGTTATCGGCTTTCAAATATAAAGAATTATCGGTTATCGGTATCGGCTAAAATTTTCATATCGGTGCATCCCTACTCATAAGTGAAAGATATGGAGTGCGTTATCTAAGCAGCATCTATTTAAGTGGTATTTGGGCATGAAAATAGCACTCTGCAAATGAGACACGATTCAGAATGGATAACACTCGCGTTTGACGTTAGTATGTTGCTTAGCTTACTGCGCGATACTTTAATGTGCATAAAAATACACCGAAAATAACAATATTGGATAAAATTATACATTTTGAATTACTCTGGTAATTAAATGAACCTCTGGATGGAGCAGGTTGATAGGCCCTTTACATGCAATCGCATCACTGACTACAATGCACAAGCTGATTCGCTTGCTTGATATTTTTGCTTGATATTGTCCGTGAGCGTCTTTGATGCATTGTTGGCTCTTTCATACTAACAATTTGGCAAGGGTTCAAATCACCCGCAAATGCAAAATTTCAAAAAAATGCAAATCGTGCTTAAAATCATGTAGTGTGAACTAGGCTTTCTACAGCAGCGTGTCTGTGTGTATATAGGCAGCAGCAAGTCTATTAAAATAAAAATACAATTAACATTGTCAAAGCCATTAACATACCTAAACTAGCTGTCATGATTAAACTGTTTAGTAATAGCTTTAATTATTTAATGAAATATAAAAGCTTATTTACTATCATAATTTCCATTGCCTTATCAGCCATCCTGAATTTATGTGACAGGTTTTGTAACAAATGTGTTGACCTTTAAACAGATATGTATAGTAACAAAGTAAGTACTAAAATGCTGTATCTGTACTCTACTAGAGTTTTGTTTTTTTTCTCATACTTCTACTTTTACTTCAGGAGATATTTTCGATGAATTTTAATACTTTTACTTCAATATTTTTTAATGTTCTGCTAGTTACTCGTTACAATTATAAACATTTTACGAATCATTCGTTGCAAGTTGGCTTTCATGCTGCCTAAATCACACGCCAGTTTTATAGGGTAATGGTATTGATTGACACGCACATTAACAACTAATGCAGGGGTTGTCCTGCAATGACCGCCAAAGCAAATTTGTATCCCGCCAAAGCGTCTTATTTGATTGCTAGTTCAAACTTTTGACTGCTTTCTTTAATAATTACATGACACAATACTTGTACTTTTACTTTTAGTACTTAAGTAGTGAATTTTTAAATAAACTACTTGCAATAGTTAAGTACAAAAATGTTGAATACTTTAGTACTTCTACTTAAGTGTGGTGCTTAAAGAGTCACTTTTGTGATAGAGCACTTGTACTTTTACTCAAGTCCGGGTTTCTAGTACTTTATACATCTCTGGTTTTAAATATGAAGAGAATTATGATTTTTATTTTTACACACCTGAAAAATGCAATTCTCAATTTGTCTTTGTAATGTGTTTGCAGAACTAAATAACTTTTTGTTTGCTGTTTAATTTCCAGGTAACCCATCCCAGTCCACGTCTCTCCATTACATGAACCCCTACCAGATGAACGCCTACGCCCTGGCGCTGAAGGCAGTGGGAGAGATCATCCAAGACTATGACAGTGACAAGATGTTCCCTGCGCTGGGGTTCGGAGCCAAGCTTCCCCCCGACGGACGGGTGTCCCATGAGTTCCCCCTAGTGAGTGAGCTGATGTTCAACTTGTCCCAAACTCCCTGTGATTTGTCTAAAAAAGTTGTTTTTTGATGCAAGACACTCAATGTATTTCTGTTTTTCTCACTTTCTGGGTTGTAAACTTGAGAGCGTGAGATGCTGTTGTGCTAGTGAGGCAAGACTGTATGGGAGACGTCTATAATTGGCAACGTCTGCTGTCATATTGATTGACACGATCCATGTTTTCTCTCCTCGGCATTGTTATCGGTTGAACTGCTGTTGACTTAAATGAAGCCGCATTGATTCCTGTCTTTTAGAATGGAAATATCGAAAATCCCTACTGTAATGGTATTGAGGGGATATTGGAGGCGTACCATCAGAGTTTGAAGACCGTCCAGCTATACGGACCTACTAACTTTGCTCCTGTTGTAAATCACGTGGCCAGGTGAGTTTCTCCAAAAATCCTTGGAAATACACAATCAGCTTATATTGTCAGTGTGTTCATGAACGTGAGTTCATGAGTAACTAAAAGTAAGTTATAATTGGCATGATGCCAGGTTCGAAAGCTTGGTTTATTTCCTTTTTCAGTTCAGTTGTTATGTGTTTTTGTCTATAGTTTTAACATCTATTGAAATACCTTTCTAAATATTTCTATGTAGCTTACATTTATTTTGAATAGAGTGCCGAAGTGATGACGTCACTTTGTAGGACGACTCGGAAGCTAGCGGCACATGGGTTCCCTCGATCGAAAAGCTATGCATTTTCCCCATAGACTTTTGGTAAATCGCAAAAAATACAAAGAGTTGTGACCCTTACACATTTTATCTATCATGATAATCTTTACAAGTTGATCCAACATTTATACAGTTTGAAGCCGATATTAAGTTTTTTAAAAACACAAGCAGACACAATAAAGTTTAAAAAAAACAAGTAGGTTATAACTGTGTGTTTTATGTCATAGATCAAAACGTGAGCAAAAACCCATTCAAAAATCCCATAGACTTTAGAGCGAGGGAACCGGTAGTGCTAAAATGCTAACTGTGAGTGATGTCATAACCTCGGCACTCTATTGGTTTTAGTTTTAGCCAGAGATGTATAGTAACGAAGTAGAACTACTTAAGTACTGTACTTAAGTACTAAAAGGCTGTATCTGTACTCTACTAGAGTTTTTTTCTGCCTTAATTCTTCTACTTTTACTTCAGTAGATATTTTCGATGAATTTAATACTTTTACTTCGATATTTTTTTAATGTTCTGCTAGTTACTCGTTACAATTATGAAAAATGTACGAATCATTTTCATGCTGCCTAAATCACACGCCAGTTTTATAGGGTAATGGTATTGATTGACACACACATTGACAACTAATGCAGGGGTTGTCCTGCAATGACCGCCAAAGCAAATTTGTATCCCGCCAAAGCGTCTTATTTGATTGCTAGTTCAAACTTTTGACTGCTTTCTTTAATAATTACATGACACAATACTTGTACTTTTACTTTTAGTACTTAAGTAGTGAATTTTAAAATAAACTACTTGCAATATTTAAGTACAAAAAATGTTGAATACTTTAGTACTTCTATGATTAAAGAGCACTTCAACTTCTACTCAAGTCACTTTTTTGACAGAGCACTTGTACTTTTACTCAAGTCCGGGTTTCTGGTTTTAGCTATTTAATATTTCAACTTATTTCAGTTAATTCCATGATTTATAAAAAACAAGTTTATTTTTCTTCTAATATTTATATTAAATCAAGTCAGGACTCGAACTCTGGTCAGCTGAAGGTCAGCTGTGCCATGTCAGACCGCTTTGCATAAGGCTCGTCACTGACAACATGGGTTTTTAAGATTGATAAACGAGTACATTTGGTAGCCGCCAGTCCTTAATATGTGGTTACTCTTGAGTAAAAGCATCTAAACATTTATTGAGCACTCCTCCTCTAGCTAACCTTGGCTTTGGCTGCTCTTGTGTCATTGCAAAATTCAAAAGCGATTCCGGTTGTTTTTGTTGCCATGTAAAATGTCAGCCTGTCTGCACTTTGCATACAAATGAGAGATCGCCCAGATTCAGTGGAATGCAATGCAAATGTTATTTTCTGCATGAATAGAGAAATTGATCTTTGTTTAGATTTTCAAGCACATAGCATATATGAACAACAGACACATCACGAATCAGAATAAGAAAAACTGTTTGGCTGCGCACTTTCTCACGGATCATATCCTTGAAGACACTTGAGATGATTTCCTCGGCTTCGGCTCTGATGTTCTCTAAACGATGGTCGTGTCTGTCCGCCCAAGCCAAACGCTCGCTGCTTGTGTTGGCCCAAAAACTGACAAAAGAAAGTTGCTGACATGGAGCAAGCTTGTTATCCCGGCGTTGTCATAACAGAATGACTCAGAACTGACTGCAGCTATTTTTTAATCATTATTTGAAAGGATAGTGGGTGTGTTTCCAGAAAAAGGAGACAAAGTAATTGTCTGAAGACATCTCCGCCCCCTCCCTCGTGTCACAGCATCACACAACCAAATCATTTTCCATCTGATTACACCGCATCCACTGTGGTAATTAAAAACGGCATCTTCCGCAGATTTGAATTAGACTTTCTAAATTGAAGCATGATACACCTCCTCGGGCTCTAGCTCAGAGCTGGCGGAGCTGGCAAAGCTTTATTTAAACAAACAAAGCAGAACATGGTGTAATGAGTTTGAGACCAGGACAAGGAGAATGTGCAGTCTTGAAGTGTGTATTGTTGTTGTTTCTTGTCTCTGAAGTTACGCAGCTGCGGTCCAGGACGGCTCGCAATATTTCGTGCTCCTCATCATCACAGACGGGGTCATATCAGATATGTCACAGACCAAAGAGGCCATCGTGAATGTGAGTATGACCACTAAAAGAGGACAAGTGGGTTGGAGAGGGTACAGACCCTACTTTTCAGGCTTCATCATCCTCACTCGAAGGATGTAATTCTCAGTTAATAATTGATTCCAATGGTGGTTTGCATTAGCATGTCGCTAAGTTAGTAGGGTGGGCATTAGTGCAAAAGATGGCCGACGTGTCTCCACTATAGAAAATTAAGCCAAAATATCCCGGAAATGGTCGTCCAGAGTCTGCGCAGTGGTGATCCTGAGTGCTGCCCACACTCCCGCACAGCTGTCAATCTTCACGTTATACCCTGCTTTTAAAGTAAAACCAAACTTATTGGAAAAATGAGAACTAAAAGGACAAAACCTACCTTTGAGTAGTCTGATTGGATTTTTTATTTCTTTTTGTGGTTGTGCCCCATTCGATTACATGGAGATGGTGGGGTTTATGAGCTGTACTGCAGCCAGCCACCAGGGGGCGATGAAAATGCTGTGACTTCACTTTTCACAACATGTGCGCCCATAGATATCCATAATAAAGGCTAGATATCTTACGACGGAGTGTCTATCGTCCTCATTGGCGGCCATCTTGTCACAGGCAAACTTTCTGGCGGGCTCTGTGGTTCCTGTTGTAAGATGAGTGATCAGCACGAACACAAATACTGTTATCTTGTTGAAATCTTGACGGATTTACATACGGCTTGGGTTCTTACGAACGTTATTAATGTGGCTATAATTCTGGACGATTATTTACTTATACACTTATTATTCATAAGTATGCAGTGTCATAAGTACATCTCTGACGTTTATAACAAACCAACCCGTTTGAAAATCGGTAGAAAATTGAGCAAGTTATGGTTATTTAAAAAGTACATGCAACTAAAACACAATGTTACGAGTAAGCGAGCTGCCTGTGGCAAGATGTCCGCCATTGGTCAGCAGTGTGGACGAGACATCTAGCCTTTATTATGGATATCAATGTGTGCGCCACCCACTTTTCCATCTGCGTTGGTTCCGGAAGTATTTTTCCATTCAGTTTTCCCATCCGAATTAATTAATCATATCATTACAAAGTTTTATTTTAAGCAAAAAAGTATTTTAAAATTGGGCAAAAAGACAGGTAAAAGACAAACAATCTCATGAAGCAAATGACAATTAAATTTGTTGTATATATATATATATATATATATATAAAGCTTATGGAGACTGACTTACATCATCCACAGTGCTTCATGGGAGTGGGTGGAGCTAGGATCTCTTTTGGCGTAATTTGCTTGTTACTTTCTGTACAGCATCATGAGTAATGTAGTCTTTCCCCATGAATTCAGCTGTTAATCATGATTATTTTAAAAAATAACTTGAAATAAAATAAAATAAGCAATTAACAACCTCTGAGTTCACAGTTGGTAGGAGTTTTTACTTCCAAAACCCGACTGTTTCACTCTATCAAACTTCTCACAATGCACCTATTATGGGTCTAAATATAAAGGCACATTGCTAGGTTTCACATCAGAGCATGTTTTGTATACGGTCCTCTTCTTCGGTGTGCTTTAAATGGGTTTTTATGATCTTATTGTAGATGATATTTTGTTATAATGTATTTAGGCTGCATGTATGTCACATTCAAGTGGATGACTCAGGTCATCATTTACGCTGAAAAGGTCAATCTCGTCTCCAGTGGTGTATGTCATGTCATTTATCCAACCAATGAACAGGCCCGATTTCCCAGCAGACTGGATTTAAAGGGAATTTGCGACTGTTAGTCAGATTTGTAGAACAGCCACACCTTCCTTTTAAGATCTTGCCTGCTGCTCTTTCCCCAACGGCCTGCATCTGCCAAGACGACTCGCATTTCTGCTCGCGTGTGTGTGACATTTAAGACCTGAACGCAAGGTAAAAATGGACGCCTATCTAATGGTGAAAGCTATTTTTGTTTGTGTGTTCAAAGGACTTTTTTTTAATCTAAATCTGAGTATTTACATTTGAAACAAGACATTTTAATTGAAATGTAGTGAAAGAATTAAATATGACGGATGTTACACTTCGGTGCAGATCTGATTAATGATCTCAGGAGGTGTTGAATCAGGAACAGGAGATATCCGCATAGAAAAAACTAATCTAATCACGAAGGGGGCTGAATCTCTTAATCAAGTGAAAAGGTCATGTGGTCTTGGTATGTGATTAGCCATGTGTGCATCAATCCTATAATTACTATATTGAAATGCGAAAATTGTCAACTATTTATATATTTGAATCTTTACAGGGAAAGTTCACGTAGGCACTGTAGGCACGTGTTTGTCCTATTTTTAGATCCTAGGCCTGTTTGTTGAACAGATAAAAAGTAAACCGTTGAAAATAAAGTTGGATATTCCAACCTTCTTTCAAGATTAAACAAAAACAAAAAAATAAGGAAGAAAAGAATGGTCCATTTTATGCACCTTATCAAAAACAATCCATTCAAGTCCATCACGGCAGAGAATGTCTAATAATGGGAGAACTCCCACTCTCAGTAAACGTCCGGCTCCCGAACTGGCTGCAGTTCCACTCTGGTCCCATATGAGGGCGCTCACAGGAACGAGCGCAGAATGAATGGAGGTCTATGGAGATATACCCCTCAAAATCCACTCTTCTCAGGATAGAATTTTTTGTCTAGTAATTTGAGCGTTGTATTTGAAAGGAGATGCAAAGAAATTACACATTGTTGGGTGCTAGATTTTTTAGAGTCACTTATTTGCTTTTTTAAATGTCAATGACGTCATCATACACATCGTATGACCAGAGATACTGCTTAACGGCAATCCTTCAGTCACTTTGGTCCGTTCGTAAATAAAGGAGTTTTTGTAAAACTAAAGTTCTTTATATTCTTGTCCCGCTTCGGATGCCACGATGCCATCAAGCGGTATCTCAAGTCGTAATCATTCCTTCCCTGCGTCCATTAGCAGAATGCTAGCGTGTTATGGGCAACAACAACTCAACCTGTAAGAAATCGAAAGGACATAAATACTCGTTCATTCAACTTTCGACCTATAACCCATGTTGAATTTGCAAAACCTACAATCAAATCTGAGATTTCTCAACGGCAAATGGGTGAAAGACAGAAATTTAGCCGCCTAGCTCCATAGACTCCCATTCATTTTGCACTCATGGGCGATTGCCCCCAGTGGAACTCTGGTGGAACTACAACCAAAATTCGGTTGCGTATCCAGTAGACGGGCTCTAATCACGGTTTGTTTGACGTTCTCCATGCACCCATCACCACATAAATACAGTATATCCCCTCTAGTGGTGTGAAGGAAAATTACACGAACCCGTTAATGGCTCCTACACACATACGATAACTTTGTGATAAACAGTATATCATTTATGAAAATATTTTGAATTGATCCCCTCTGCCATAACTCTCAATTCAAATATGGAGCATGAAGACACATTGCTCTTGGTTTGACATCAGTGATCATGTTTACATACACACTAATACGTGGGCAACTAAAAAAAAAACTGTTTTCTGAAATAATCCGTTTAAGTATTTTAGTTTCATCGGAAAGAAGGCGAATACTAGCCTGGCTAACGCCAGACCACGTATCATTGAGAATGAAACATGGTCTGGAAACCACATGTTACATTTCTCCTATTTGAGGCGTGGTTTACGAGAGTTGTATTATTGGGTTCTACGAATGTCTATCAAATGCGCCTGTGCTCCCTCCCCGTTCTGTGATTGGTCCGTTCGTGAACGACATTAGACATGCGGGTGCGGAGATTAAACTCGCGGACTGGCCGTCGGACTGAGGGCTGTTTTAGTCTGCCCTTAATTATCAACTTAATGTGATGATATTGCCGATATATATAGAAAAAATAATCTTCATGATTAAGGGACACGGTAGCAGGGCTGCCCGTCACGTCATATCACAACTATCTTTCCAGAGTTAATAAAATGAATCATGCCATGAAAGAAAGCAGGAGATGCATTTTTGGGAATAATCTGGAAAATAAAGACCTGTATGTCTATGCTTGTTTCAGATGGACATATCTCCAGTTGATGATAATTTTTAAGTCAGAGCTCTGAGGAAATGCTGATGCAAAACAAACAATCCAAAGTCCCCCAAACTGTCAAATAGGCTTATATAAAGTTTTAATCCCGTTGCCTTAATTGTGGATTTTTTCTTAGAAAAAAAATAATTATTCTTTGCTCGTTAATTGTTCTACTCTGTATTACAGTATTTACCGCTGTAAAAAAAAAAATAATAAAGATGCAGCACTTTTATTATATGCAATGAGAGGCTATTTTATGTGTTTATCTTAATAGATATGCTTTCAAAAAAGGAGCTTTACAACCTTATCAGAGCCAATGATAATATTAGTACATTTTAGCAAGTTTTAAGCCCCATTGTCAACTTTAATCATATAAAACCTAATTTTCCAACAAATAAAAATGTGGCTAGTAAAAGTGTTGCATGGCTAGTAACTTTGGAAAACCACTAGCCACATTGGCTAGTAAGCAAAAAAAGTTAATGTCAAGCCCTGGACGTGATTGATCCGCAACAGGAGGTAACGCACTACACGACATGACAACAACTCTGTCACCCAACGAAACTATCTTGTCCACAAACCACGTTTTGTCACGAAAAATCACGCGATAAAACAAACTGGAAATGACGTGAAACATCATGCGCGCCAATACCAGTGAAGTAGACGAAGAACACAACACGCGAATATGGACGTCAGAAACTAGTGCTGCAAACTGTTTGCGCGATGATTTGCTCGGAGAAAAAATGCAACAAAAGAAAAAATAAGATTTACCCGGTGACCTCAACCCATGCCTTGCTCTGATTGGCTGTAGCTCATGACATCACTAAGGTTGAGTCTAGGGCTGTCAACTTTAGTCGACTAATCAGTCGATGCCGTCTTGGTCGACTGACATTCTTATTGGTCGACCAGTTAAATTTTTTTTTTTTTTTACCAATAGAAAGAATTTTTTTAATGGTTTACTCCTTGATATTTATTCCTTTATAAGCA